CTTTCTCTTTAAAGGAACAAAAGGGCCATCACGGACCACTTCCCACATGGCATAATCCATGCCTTGCATAAAAACCCTCATCCGATTCTTCCAATAGGAATAATTTGTTACATTAAAGAAAGGAGGACGAACGATAGATTGTCCCTCAAAGAACAAGAAAATTGGTGTTGCCATGATTGAAACTAAAAAAAAAATGATTTAATATTTTAAAATCAAAACTTTGAGCCAAGGCTCTGATACCAATTGTTGGCCCAGATGGCAGCCCAAGAGGGGGGGTGAATTGAGTTTTCAAAAACTTTATGCAACTTTCTAAAAACAAAACAATGAACAAGCACAAACAATTGTAAATAACTAATTTAAAGTGCAGAAATTAAAAGAGTAGGATAAGAAATATCAAACGCTTCGATTTATCCTGGTTCATCACCTTTTTGGTGCTTACGTCCAGCCCTCAAGTTTCCTACGCTCGAGATTTAATCCTCTAACACTAGTTTCAACGAGTGCTAGTGAAACCGATTACAATAGCTTGCTGGTGCTATCAACCTTTTGAATCCCTTGTTACAAATCTCTCAACCCGTCCTATACCTCAAGGATGGATTCTTAGATCTAACAAGATTTCCCAATCCCTCTCTCACTTGTTACAATGAAGGAGAACAAGAAACTTAATAGAATTCTTTAAGACACAAGATAAAAGCTTAACACTCTTGATTTTTCAACTTCAAGGCTCTGTTCTCCTACGTTCTCCACTTTTCCAAATCTAGTTCTTATAGTTTGAGAGTGCTAAATCAATGTTTTTTATCGTTGGAGGAAATTTTGCATAAATACTTCAAGAACCAGAATAATATGGTAGAATGCACTTTTCATTTTTGGTTCCCTAACAATAAAGGAAACATAATCATACAATTAAATATACTTACTCTAAAAAGGAAATACATTCAGATTAAATATTTGACAATTAATAAATCATATATTCACAATTAACTTTCAATCCAAATCAGTAAATATTCCAATTTACATTTGGTTTTTAAATCATCAAAATCAAGAATAACAATAAGAAAAATGATAGCAATTTTAGTAAAAATTTCTGACTAAATTAATTTGATTTTTTTATTTATTTTTATTATATTTTTTAGTCAAAATATTTGGCCAAAATTATTGTATTAATTTCTTAACTAGAGATTGTGATTATTATTATTTTTTTGGTATTAACCTTTTGTTATTCAAAAATAACATTATGTCTCGACTAATCTAAAGTCAAATTATGTCGGATCCCATTAAGGAAAAAACTTTTCCAATGCTTGTTTTTCATTCACAAAATTCAAACCCCTTACTTAAAGAAATCAAATCCTTTTCACTTGAACAAATAGGTCGTTGATACTAGAGATTAAGATTATGGTGATTAGAGAAAACAACTTTACTTTGAAAATACCAAATAATGAGTACTAATATTGAGTACCAAATAAACTAATCAATTAAGTACTTGGTTCCCTCGTCCTATAATTATTAAAATTAGTATAGTGAAAAGTCAGTTCAGTACATAGCTATTTCCTCTAAAATCCTCCTTTCTCAACTGCTTGTGGCAGAAATGTTTAGGCATACCACTTGCTTTGCTCAAAGCAAGAAAAAAAGATTTTTGGTGACCCTCACTTTTTCCAAGCATATGAACTTATTTAAAAGTTGATAAAAGATATCAATTGATTGAATGATTGTGCTAATAATACCTTTGAACTGATGATTGTAATAGAAACAGTGGTGTATTTTCATATGAAGGTTCAAAATAATTGCTTTAGAAAAACATCAGGGACTTCCTACATTTGGGGCTACAATAAAGTTAGTTTGTTAAGTAAAATAAGTAGAAATAAAAAAGAGGGAAAAGAAGTGTGAGGCAGAAATAAAGGTTGATCTCAAACTAAAGTTGTCACGCCCCAGAACCCAAATTCGAGGCGCAACAGACGTCGTGCACTCGTGAGAGGGTTCCACAAATGCACAAGGCTCGGAACTTATCTAATTCACATCTGATACCACCAAAATCTGAAGATCAAATTATAAAATTTCTCCGATATCATAAATCTCCAAATACACTCTAACTTACAAGATCATGATTTATTTCTAAAATCTATATCAATCTCGAAATGGCTAGCTTTCTAACTCGTAACTTCCCGTGGTTTCCCCGTCCTCGGTTTCACTTCCTGAAATGGTGGACAAGGAAAAACTATAAGATAAACTTAATAAGTAAAATATGGATTGCCTTTAATTAAACTTATAGCATGCCAACATGTGCAATCACGAAAAACAGATACAATACGGGAACGAAATAGACGTCTCCTCTATAGGTCACGGCCAGTGTTACAAACCTCCCACTGGTAGGCACACGATTTGTCGGTGTATAATCCCCACAAGCAGGGTCACTGTTTGCTGGTGTATAATCCCCACAAACAGAGTCACTGTTTGCTTGTGTATAATCCCCACTAGCAGGGTCACTGTTTGCTGGTGTATAACCCCCACAAGCAAGGTCACTGTTTGCTGGTGTATAATCCCCACTAGTAGGGTCACTCAACGAACCGGTTCTATCAATAACATGTTGACATGTGCTAGCGTTTATAACCTCCCCCACTAGCAGGGTCACGAATAACATATCGACATGGGCCGACATGTGCTAGCGTTTATAACCTCCCCCACTAGCAGGATCACTAATAACATGACCACATCGGAGACAAAACAGGCTGAAGTTAACAGAAAAACATAATTCACCAATCACTTTCAAATCATTAGGATAATCAATTAAATTCCAAGTAGACATGCTCAATTTAATGAAAAGCATAAAAATTTCACTTCAAATCAGTCATGCTCGTGTAAAACGGGTTTAGTCCAGCCACCACTTCAAAAACAAATCAAAACATGCTTTTAAAAACAGTACGGGCATTACCATAAATTTACTTACCTCACTCCGCAAAACCGAGCACTCAATTCACGTACTAAACTGACAGAACGATCAAGAACATAATCAAAATATCCACGAATTAATTATCGTACTATCACAAATTCACACTGAAATCATAATTAAGACTACCCTTAATCACGATGTTATTTCTATAAATCTCCACATTATCAGATATCTCCAAATTCGTTCTTATATCACAAACTAATCACTTAAATCCTCGTTAATTGTTGGCCCTCGATGTGTGAACAGTGTTCTGTGAACAGTGTTCGATGAACAGTACCACGACGTGAACAGTAACTCTAACTTCCAAAAATGGGTCAAAACCAAAGAAGTCAATCTCGTACCGGACGATACGTACCGGATTTGACCCTTGGCCGAAATGGTACAACATTAAATTCCGTTTCGGTCAAAATCCGGTGTACCGGCCGAAATTTCGTGTACCGGCCGGTACACTTCATGCCCCTCCCCAAAAAAAAAAAAAAAAAAAAGGATTTCCTTGCCCAAAACGACGTCGTTTTGGTCAAGGGCTTTTAATCCTTCCCTGCAAATATGCAATTTCAGATCGAGCATACTTTGCGAACATACCCTTGCCCTCCGATCCGACCCTCTTCACCGGTGGTGCAGGGCGTGCAGCTGCTGCTGCTCCTCCTTCCTGTTTTGTGAATCGGCGCCCTAGATCTTGGACTTGGTGAACCGGTGGTGCAGGGCTAGATCTTGCATCTTGTTTCTCTTCACCCGTCTCCAGCAACCGAGCTTCATCTCCAGTAGCCAAGCTCCATTCACCCGTCTCCAGCAACCGAGCTTCATCTCCAGTAGCCGAGCTCCGTCCCCAGCAGCCAAGCTTCGTGTCCAGCAACCTAGCTCTGTCTCCAGCAACCCAACTCCGTCTCCAGTAGCCTAGCTCCGTGTCCAGCAGCCCAGCTCTGTCTCCAGCAGCCCAGCTCTGTCTCCAGCAGCCTAGCTCCGTCTCAGGTATCTTACATGATTTCCTCTCGCTTCTCTCGGTTTTTATTTTTCTTTGTTAATTTCATTACTAATTGAAATAGTGAATATATTTCCTTTTGAATTTTGGTGCGATTGATTTGCAATTTGGTGTGAATAAAAACAGTACTGCTTTGTCAAGTTGCTGCCATAATAAATCTGTGAAATTGTGCAATTGTTAGTTTGTTAAATCATTAGGCTCACATGGTGTGGTTGATTGCTGCAATTTATGAAACAGTTGTTATTTTTCTGTTTGTAGGATATCATGAATACTAGTGGTTCTGGCAATGGCACAGGAGACTCTATTGGATCCACTCCTTCTAAAACAGATGATCCTGCTTGGGCTCATTGTTTGATTGTCCCAGGCAGAAGGAATCAGACTAAATGCTTATATTGTGATAAGCTCATACTAGGGGGTGGAATTACTAGATTGAAAGAGCATCTTGCCGAAATCAAAGGCAATGTCGGTGCTTGCAAAAAAGTTTCAGCAGATGTGAAGTGGCAAATGCAACAGTTGTTAAGTGAGATAAGGAAAGGGAAAGAAAAGAGACAGAGACTTGGGGATATGGTTGAGAGTCAATGTGATTCACAAACATTTGTTGATAAAGATGATGAAATTGAAGAAAGCCATCGATCTCAATCACATGTAGCACAACAGAAAAAAAATATTAATTCATATTTCGTACTAAGGACAACTCATGGAGCCCAGAAAACCATAAAAAATGCTTTGCAATCAAGAGAAAAACAAGAAGCTGCTAGGATGGCTATTGCTAGATGGTGGTATGATGCTAATGTGCCTTTCCATGCTACACGTTCAAAATACTACTTGCCAATGTGGGATGCTGTCACATCTATGGGACCTGGTTTCAAGGGACCGAGTTACCATGATTTGAGAGGTTCTCTCTTAAAATGTGCAGTCAAGGAAGTTAATGAATGGCTCTTATCTTTGAAGTCAATATGGAGTACCAATGGTTGTTCAATTATGGCAGATGGATGGACAAATCAAAGGCAACAACCAATAATTAATTTCCTTGTTTATTGTCCTAGAGGAAGCATGTTTTTGAAGTCTGTTAACACTTCTGGTTTGACAAAAGATGCTGATACATTGGAGAGGATGTTTGATGAAGTGGTGAAAGAAGTGGGAGTGAAAAATGTGGTACAATTTATAACAGACAATGATGATTCATTCAAAGCTGCTGGGAAAAGGTTGGAAGCAAAGTACAGCACATTTTTTGGTCTCCTTGTGCTGCCCATTATATTGACTTGATGTTAGAAAATTTTTCTGATGCAAGATACTTTCCTATAGTTGATACTACTATAAGAAAGGCAAGAAAAATCACAAAGTTCATATATAATCATTCATGGGTGCTAGCATTGATGAGGAGGGACTACACAAATGGGAGAGATTTGTGTCGTCCTGCTGTTACAAGATTTGCTACCCATTTTTTGAGCATCCAATGTTTATTGAAATTCAAGAAGGAGCTTAGGCAAATGTTTACAAGTGATGCATGGGTTGGTTCTAGGTATGCAAGAAGTAGTGTTGGGAAAGAAGTATGTGAAATTGTCTTGGAAGATAGAGAATTTTGGTCTAATTGCATATTGATTGTCAAAATCAGTGAGCCTTTGGTGAGAGTG